TCTTTCCTTCAGCCAGTTCGTAGTCCACCTATGAAACCGATGTCCATTCACTGTCAGGACACAGAACAAGCTGCTGCTTCCTTCAGTGTCCCAAACTAAAAGCTGCTAACACATTTACTCCAGCATTCCTAGGACTGGTGATGTTAGTGAGAACAAATACACGGAAGCAGCGGGCAGCAGCCTCTGCCCCACACATTGGGGGAGTTTGTGTGGCACTCACCAGGGGGAGAGGAGGGGGAACGCAAGTTTTGGCCAGGCTCTCTCTCAGGTGGCTCATCTCAGCACGGCACTCATCCAGCTGGCTCTCCAGCTTCTCCCTCCTGACTCGCTCGTATTCCAGTTGGGCCTCCAGCTCCCTCACAGCCCTGCCAAAAGCACGGGAGACAAGCAGAGCATGAAGCGCATCCCAAGCTGCCCCAGCTACTCCACGTGGCCCTGTGCCTTTGCTAAGGAGCAGGTCAGTCACAGCAGAAAGCTGTGCAGCACTCCTGAGGTGAGCTACAGCCTGCTCCGGGTTGAAGACCCTTTGGGACAGCTCTAAGGTGGTGGTTTTCCTTCTCCACTGTCCGCTGTGCTCAGCGCAATCTGACCACAAGACGGAGATGTCTTCCTGCACACCGAGCCAGATGCTAGGGTCTTGGGTAGGCTGGAGCCCAAGGAGCAAAAAGGGTGAGTGTGAAAGAGAGAAAAAGCATAAAGCTGGGATTCCAGAGGTGTCAGAGGCAGCTTTTTCGTTGGCATCTGGTGACTCTATGTCCTTGCTTTGGACTGGCTTAGCCACAGATGAGGAGTACTCAAATGACAGCCTGCATGACACTAACTAGAGGAAAACTCAAGCACTGGCTGATGAGCAGTTGCCCAAGATCTCATCTTGACCAGTGTAACAACCCTTTAATTTAATGGAGAATTAATTAATTTAATCAGAGAATGAGACAGACCTTATGAAAAATGCTTCAGGTGCACGGGCAGTTTTGCTGAGATCTCTTTTCCATGTGGTCTGGAGATGAGCTAATGCTCTCTTGAGCATAGAAATGCATTGCCCTCCACACAGAAACGTAGAAATGGGCAGATAAATTGCTAAAGTCCTTTCTTTTTGGCCTCTCTAAAGCTGCTAAAGGGGGAAAAATGAACGGCCAAAGCAATTTGAGTGTAAATTAGTCTTAAAGACAACTTTAAAACCTCACAAAGTTAAACATTAGCAGGACAAATGAACCTTACTTCTCAGCTTCTCTCTGTTCTCTTTTCATTTTCCTCTCCTCTTCAGTGACTCCTCCCAGCTGTCTGTAGTTGCTGTAGGCAATTTCTAGAAGTTGCTGAAGTTCTTGAATCTTGCCATAGGCCCTTACTGGAAGACAGAGTTCTCCAGGTGGGTAAAACGCATGGAGAAGCCAGCCAGGATGGAATCTAAGAGTCTGCTCAGCAAATACTGACCTACCCCTGCCACCCACCCAGCAAACAGACCTCAAAAACAAGGAACAAGCCAATCTGTTTTCACTAACACGGATCAAAACCGCCTAACAATTACGTTCCAATTGCCCTCTGCTGTGCTTTCTGATTTTCCACCATTTGTTTGAATGCCCAGTGGTACAAATACCCTGTCAACAGCTCATCTCGCAAGAAAAACAGTCACAGCAGCTGGCAGAAACTCTGCATCTGGGATTATAATGTCTTAAGAGCACCTTTTTTTCAAATAAGGAGTGATGGAAAGACAACACGTACTGCGTGCGTTCCTTTTCTCCGCTTTATCCAGGGATAAATCTTCTTTGCTGTCTGTACTCCCCTCCACACCGTGTCTTTCAAAAAACTCCATGTTGCTTGCATCTGGTTCTTCATCACTTGAGTTGCTGTCTCCAGTTCTTTGTGCCAAAAGCTCCATGGCTGCCAGCTGGGCCGATCTGCACAGATACCAGTGAACCTACACTGAAATATGCTTATCATCTGGAGAAACACAGCCATGCTCTCTGAGTATGATATAAACTCCCTGAAACTCTTCATTTTCCCATTTATCAGGGGGAGTTTCAGGACTAAAGGAAGCAGTGGTATAGAATCACAGAATCGCAGCATGTGTTGGGTTGGAAGGGACCTTTAAAACTGATCCAGTCCAACCCCTGCACTCAGCAGGGACATTGGTACCAGATCAGGTTGCTCACAGCCCCATCAAGCCTGGCCTTGAACATCTCCAGGGATGGGGCCTCCACCACCTCTCTGGGCAACCTGTGCCACTGATCTGCCACCTCATGGGGAAGAGCTTTTTCCTCATATCCAACCTAAATCTGCCCTTTTCCAGTTTAAAACCATTTCCCCTCATCCTATTGCTCCATGCCCCGGTGAACAGCTCTTCCCAGCTTTCCTATAGGCACCTTTCAGGTCCTGGAAGGTCGCTATAAGGTCCCCCTGCAGCCTTCTCTTCTCCAGGCTGAACAACCCCAACTCTCTCAGATGTCCCCATAGCAGAGCTGCTCCAGCCCTTGGATCATCTTTGTGGCCTCCTCTGGCCCCACTCCAGCACTTCCATGTCCTTTAAGTGCTGGGGACTCCAAAGCTGGACGCAGCCCTGCAGGTGGGGTCTGAGCAGAGCAGAGCAGAGGGGCAGAATCCCCTCCCTGGCCCCATGGTCACACTTCACAGAATCCCAGGATGTCAGGAGTTGGAAGGGACCTGGAAAGCTCCCCCAGTGCAACCCCTGCCACAGCAGGATCACCAGAGCAGTCACACAGGAACACGGCCAGGGCTTTGGGTGTCTCCAGACAAGGAGACTCCACAACCTCTCTGGGCAGCCTGGGCCATGCTCTGCCACCCTCACACTCACAAAGTTTGGCCTCATCTTCAGCTTGAACCTCCTATGCTCCAGCTTGGGACCATTGCCCCTTGTCCTGGCATTGGACATCCCAGAGCAGAGCCTGGCTCCTTCCTCCTGACACTTGCCCTTTACAAATTTATAAACATTAATGAGGTCACTTCTTGTGGTGCAGCCCAGGGGCCAAACTCTGAGTAGCTAATCTGCTTTTTGTAGATGGCACGAGCTCTGCCTCCGTGAAATCTTGGGACAATGACTCCCACAGCAGAGGCATCTTTTCCTTTGCAGGTTTTCTTAATTCAGTCTCATCAGGGACTGATTTCTTTTTATTCATGCAAAAACCAGTTGGCCTTCACCCATTCTCATTTACTTTGTACAGTCTCAACTTTCCTTTTGCAGACCAGCTAGTCTTTTATGTCTCACTGTGCTAAAAAAAAAACCCTAATAAATTAAATTAAGGGAAAATTAAAACCTTTTATAGCTACGGTACAGCTTTGCTTATCACTCAGAGGTGAAATTCATGCGTTCTTGCTCAGAAATCAGGATTAATTATATCAGTATATAAATATTAAATAGTGACAGAGCTACAGGGTAGGTACTGCTACCTCTTGGCTACGTCCTTTGGGGTCTCTCCAGCATCATTTGTAACGTCACAGTTGGCTCCCATTTCAATCAACCACTGTAAGCAATGGATATGCCCCTGTCCAGCAGCTAAGGGAAGGAAGGTGCACACAAGTTAGTTACACACAACTGAAAATGTCCCCCTCTTATCATTATTTGACTTGTCAGAGGTTGGGTTCGCTAAGACACCACAGGGGAGATACTATTTCAAGAGAAGCCTTTATTTAAAGATGCTCAAGTGACTAAACTTGCCCTGAGCATCAAACACACAAGTCATTGCTGCCTCACGCTCTTGCAGTAAGGCCTCTGTGTCACAGATTTGCAGCAAAGCTGTATCACCTCTCTCCCATTCCGGGCTCCCATATATCAGACACAGCCGGATACCCTGATCTGTGGTGTTGTCTCATGGAGGAGAGAAACCAGGGCTTTGTGCTGGAGCTGCAGGGACACATTTTTTGGGACAGGCACTCAAGGCAACACTTCTCAGCTCCAGCCTAACCCAACAGCTTTGCTGACTTATATCATCTGTCACTACACATCTTATTTTTATGAGAATCACAGAGTGGTTTGAGTTGGAAGGGACCTCAAAGTCCCCCCAGTCCAACCCCCATGGGCAGAGACACCCAAAACCAGCCCAGGCTGCTCCAAGCCCCGTCCAACCTGGCCTTGGGCACTACCAGGGAGGGGGCACCCACAGCTTCTCTGGGCAACGTGGGCCAGGGCCTCACCAACCTCTCAGGGAAGAATTTCTTCCTAATATCCAGTCTAAATCTCCCCTCTCCCAGTTTAAAACCATTCCCCTCATTCTCTTGCTACCTGCCCTTATAAAAAGTCCCTCCCCATCTTTCCTGTAGGACTCCTTCAGGTCCTGGAAGGTGCTCTAAGGTCTCCCCAGAGCCTTCTCTTCTCCAGGCTGAACAACCTCAACTCTCAGCCTGTCCCCATAGGGGAGGTTCCTCCACTGCTGCTCACCAAAGGGTTTGTCCTGGCCATGGAGCATCATCCACCACCCTCCTGGAGATGGAAGAGGAGCTCTGCGTGCATGGCACTGAGCTGATTTGCACCCAAGAGGTCTCCTGCCTGTGCCTGGCCTCGGGTACCACCAGGGCACCCACAGCTCCTCAAAGTCCCCCCAGTCCAACCCCCATGGGCAGAGACACCCAAAACCAGCCCAGGCTGCTCCAAGCCCCGTCCAACCTGGCCTTGGGCACTACCAGGGAGGGGGCACCCACAGCTTCTCTGGGCAACGTGGGCCAGGGCCTCACCAACCTCTCAGGGAAGAATTTCTTCCTAATATCCAGTCTAAATCTCCCCTCTCCCAGTTTAAAACCATTCCCCTCATTCTCTTGCTACCTGCCCTTATAAAAAGTCCCTCCCCATCTTTCCTGTAGGACTCCTTCAGGTCCTGGAAGGTGCTCTAAGGTCTCCCCAGAGCCTTCTCTTCTCCAGGCTGAACAACCTCAACTCTCAGCCTGTCCCCATAGGGGAGGTTCCTCCACTGCTGCTCACCAAAGGGTTTGTCCTGGCCATGGAGCATCATCCACCACCCTCCTGGAGATGGAAGAGGAGCTCTGCGTGCATGGCACTGAGCTGATTTGCACCCAAGAGGTCTCCTGCCTGTGCCTGGCCTCGGGTACCACCAGGGCACCCACAGCTTCTCTGGGCAACCTGGGCCAGGGCCTCACCACCTCACAGTAAAGAATTTCTTCCTAATATCCAGTCTAGAAGCTGAAGACTAGAACTTCAATATGTTTTTAAAAAAATCTACCATTTATACCTAGTCAAAAAGAAATATGGAGAATAGTGTTAAAAGCATATTACAAAAATACCTCCCTCTTTCTTTCCTCATTTATTTCTTCTTTCAGACACCACAATGAAACACCCAGACACAAGAGGACCATTTTTCTGTAATGCTACCACTCCACTATGTATCAAGTTGTGATACCAGAAGTTTCCCTTCCTTCACAGCGTCCTACCAAATGGCTCTGTTGTGGTTTTTACAACACATCTCCCCAGTACCAGCATGTTCAGTAAATAAAGGCCCAGGCCACAGTACAGATCATTCTTACACCTCACTGGCCAATGTTTCTAAAAGCCACATCTTACCTGATAAAGAAAACTATTTCATTTGCAGTTTAGATGACGTTTTCTCTTTAATTTAAACTTCTTTCTTGACTTCAGCTTGGTTGTTTTGATTTTAAAGTGACGCCTACATACACATACATCACAAAATATATTTCTCAGGGTTGCCCTTTCGAGCCCTCAGGAAATGAGATGCTGGGCTTTTTATGAAGCTTATCTGATGAGCGGCCACTTGAGAAACTAAATAAAGACATCAGCAACAAACCGTAACAAACTGAAATGCAGCCCATAATTACTGACCTTTGTGCAGGAGAGTGGATCCCTCATCGTCTCGCTCATTAATATTGATTACTCCACTTCTCACAAATTTTCTAAGCACGGACAAGTCGCCTTTGAAAGCAGCAGCATGGGCTGGGAAAGCTAAAACTGAAAAGGAAATGAAATTAAATCTCACGGCTTGCCTCTCATAGCAATTTCTGCACGGGACCTTCAGAGCTGTAAGTAGCAAGGTTAATGCACCCTTAATCGGCTAAAACGCAGCTGCAAACCTAGCACTGTTCATCACAAGCTTGACTAAACGTGTCTTGGTTGTGGCTACAGGCATCTCATAGAGTTAAGAGATTAATTTCATAAACTTGAAGTAACAAGTATGCCTTTGTTTTATGGTTGATGTTCACAGAATCACAGAATCTCGGGAGTTGGA